CAGATTTATAAATCGATTCTTATTTTTCAGGGTATAGCCGGTTCTTCACATATTAGCAGTTCCATCCAGTAAGAATCGAAAACGCAAAATGAAGCTATTTGGCCCGGGTAAGTGTTAAGTGAACGATTATGTTTACTCGTTACTTTTGTTACCCTCGATAACAAAGCAACCAAAATACTTTACTTCGTTGTGGTTCAAAAACACACTACCAAATATTTACATTCCAAAATCGATATATTAATTTTCCAGGCTATTACCGGTTCGACATCCTCGTTTTGTTCTTTTATCAACTGAACCACTTCTTTGGTGTACAACAACTATTCCCAATTTTCCTCAACTACACTCCGAAAACCGTATGTGAAGGTGAGTTCAACTTTTTTTATCGGCTTAATACAGTACGCCTACCGTATACAATCGACAAAGTATAACACATTTTCGATTCAATGGTAGAAATACCTCCTATTCATCAAAATAAGATGTTGTCACATTCTGCTGCATTTTTCTGATATCACTAATCGGTTATTGATCTATTCTTTTTGAGTCGTTGAAAATTAATTTATTTCTATTCTTTGTAAGTAACTCACCCTTTAATCGAAACATTCGTTGTAAATTTGATTTTGCGCATAAGAAAAAAGTTAATGTTTCGAATGTTGCTGTTATAGAGTACTGATCGATTTATTGATTTTTCTTGTAGGAGAACGATGCTTTGAAGTACCGAAGAACAAGTGCATAGAATGTCCAGACTGCCCGGATCTTTGCGCTAACGCCACTACGCCGGCTGCTAAGGTACCGTAATCAGTGAGATCGACTAATTTAGAGGGGGAGAAGATCTTAGAGTGCTATCTCGAAAACGGAACTTTGAAACGGAAGCGGAATAAGATTGTGATTCAATTTAGGCTGAATGTGTCAATAAATACTCGTTTGCTTACTTCAAATCTGCAGCAATGGAATACAGAATTCCCTGCAAACCTGGATGGAAAAAGTGAGCTCAAAAACTCTTTTCTTTGTGAAAAAAAATTTATGACAAGGACTGCTCTTCCAGCTTCCGTCCTGCTTTCGCACAATATTTTGGCGTATTGGTGGGTAACCTTTTCTTGGGATGGATCGCCGATGCCATTGGACGTCGTAAAACCTACATTCTGTCTCTTGCTATCGGTATACCGGCTCTAGCACTATCTGGTAGGTTCAGTGAAATAGTTCTCTAATTGTAGTTTTGAAGTAGAATATAACAATACGTAGTTTGTTGAAGTACTATCCTCCAACAAAATACTATTTTGTATAAAAAAAGGGACCTTTCATCCTCAGCCCAAGTCTTTCTATCTTTAATTTCTGGCATCTACTAATCAATATATTGATTTTCCAGCTGCAATCAACAATATTCCGCTATTCTATTTGCTAAGAATGATCACTGGTATAGGTATTGCTGGTAAG